GGGGAAAACAATCCTATGAGTGTGCATCTGCAGGGGGGGGGGGGGGTACCTAGGAGGTAGAGCTGCTTAGAGCTAGTTCACAGGATAGCAGTGAATTGGGACAGAGCTAATAAGCACCATAAACCACCCTCAAACATAACCAGTGGGGGAGATGTAACTTACGTAACTATATGGCTCTCTCCTCTGTTTCCAACTTATATCGGATCAGAAATCACTTGAAGGCAGGGACTTCATCATGTTACGAATCTCTTTTAAGAGGGTCACAACCTCTAACGAACCCAACATAGGGAGTACTAAAAACAATGTCAACCTAACAAGCAAAATGCGATGGCTCTGAGTGATGGTAGAGTATCTTGATTGTAGTGGTGGTTATGCAAGCCTACATGTTATAAAATTACACAAGGCTCAACACCCACACGAGCACAAGTATACCTGATGAAATTTGAATATGTATCCCGCATTGATTATAGCAATGTCAATTAAAACAATGCAACTGGTGAAGTGGTAATTCAGCTAAATGTCCTCAGAAGAACATCACATCCCGGGGCTATATGTAGTACACACGATCCACTGTTTGATTACATTGCTTGTAGTTTACCCGCACTATGGGGGAGGGCTGAGCCAGGGCGACCCTGCCGCTGAGCCGGCCTGGGCTGAGAACTACGAGCTGAGAAAAGCTACGGTGTGGAAGGGGACGGACGGAGTACACGAAAATCTACGACTGTGCGGGGAGTAGGGAGGCGGGGTGTCTTTCTGGAGCCCCGACACCTACCAGTCGGCCTTCTTCAGGCAGTCGACCGCCGCGCCTCGGCCCAGCAGGTAGCGCACGCAGTCCCTTTGGCCCATGGAGGCAGCCTCGTGCAGAGGCCGCTTGTAGTCTCGGTTGGCGGCCTCGATGTCCAAGCCCCAGGCCTCGACCAGATGGGCCAGGACGTCCAGGCGCCCGTGGCAGGCAGCGCAGTGCAGGAGGGTGTCCCCGGCCGGCCCCGGGCAGCCTCCGTCCGTCCGCAGCTCCCCCTGCAGGGCGCGCAGCCGGCCCTCCTGCACCAGCCTGCAGAGGGGCCGCGGGTCTCCAGGCCCGGCCATCGCCGCGGGCCGGGCCGGGCGCGGCTGGGAGGGGCCGTGAGGCCCGGTCCTCCGCGGCGGGGAACCAGGCG